TATTGCTGTATTAAAAAGCCTGGTGTAAATTTGAGAGCATTTGAAAACATCTTAACACCCAGATCTAAAAAAAGGTCAGTAAAATAAAGATGTTGTGTCCCTCGAATGAAATAAAAATGACACAATATTATTTCATTGTAAACCACATTCTGTTATTTTAATTCCAGTAAAACAAAACCAAATACAAACAGCCAAGGAGAGCACGTGTCCCTGCTCTGAAGAGAAAGGACTGCAGTGAAGGACGAAGGCAAAGAGTCAGCTCGCTGCTCTATTAATTAGCGGGAAGGGTATTTGCTTGTGTTCACCTCAGCTCTAGTGGCCCAAGAGAGGTAGGATAAAACCCTTCTCTCTTATGGGGAGGAAACTAATCACCAGCGAACTGGTCCCTTTCCCCTTCAGCAGCATCTTCTAAACAAGCAGAAAGACAGACCAAAGAGGTGTGGGGGACCCTGCCACATTGGCTCTATAGGGAGCAGCAAAACACTGTGCTGAGATGTGCCACTGTTGGAGCCAGGCTTCCTGAGCAAGGCTGCCAGTGCGAGGGGAGGGGGGAATATAAGACAACGGAGGGAAGGTGTCAGCACCCTCTTTAATCCACCTCCTCCATGCGTGATGCGTCCTCGTCTCCTTCTAGGGGAGGAATCTCTTCAGCGACAGCAGCACTGGGCTCTTCAGCAGCCACCTCATCTTCATCGATACCTACGAGGAAAATTACATAGGGGCAAGTCAGTCTGAGGCCATTCCAGAGACGGAGTTGGGATGCATAAACACTTATTCCCTAATGGGGGATAAGCCTGCAAGAGTATGTAACTGGACTAACAGGAGAATGCCCCTTATGAAGGCACTGTAGGGATGCGTCTGCAATTTAAAAACCAGAGTGGGCCAAAGTCCATCATTTTAAGATAGTGGTGCTTTGCATTTACATAGCACTTCAAAGAATAGTAAAAAATGCTTCATTCACACATTTGCTGCATCCACAGCACTTTCAGGAATGTGGGAACCGGCCTTTAACAATGGGAGAATGTTGCAAATTGGTGCATGGAGAGGGAAAAAATGTGAGAGAACAATAGGAAATTAATCTGAGCCAGGTCTCTCACTCTGTTATTCAGTCCACTAGGAGTTAGTTAGGCATCCTTCAGTCTCGAAAGACTATGGTAACGTGCTCTGTATGGAGGACTTGGAACAGCGTCTAGTGTGGCTGAGGAGACCAATTCGAGAGTGACAATCCCTTCCACACTGAAGACAAATCCAATCTGTCCCATCCAGATCCCTGCTTTTGCTGCTTTTGTGACTTCCTCTTTGCCTCGGCTTGCTGGACAAGGGTCTGCTCTTCAGAATTTTACCTGCCTGCAGTGCAGAACAGAGTTCTGTCTTGGTGCTCCTCACTGAACTTTTAGCTCCACAAATTCTTTTTACCAGATGCAGGCACTTCTCTCATCCCATTTAATTTAGACCTTTCCATTACCTGTGATATTCCCAACACCAGATCTGCACTGTCATCTTCTTACCCCCAGGGGAGGGTTTCACCCTGATTTTAGAAGAAGTCCACACCTGGGTGCGAAATGAGTCACGTCCCCCAACTCAAAGCGGCCTTCCTGATACCAGGGGTCCTGCTGCTCAACAAGTCTTGGGACTGAATGCATTGGGGCAAACGCACAACCCTTTTAAAACACTTTTCATTTGCCAAGTTCTCTCTCCATAAGGGCAGAAAGGGGAATCCTTGAGTCCAGCAACTCACCTAGACCCAGCTTGATCATCCTATAGATACGGTTGGAGTGAGTCTGTGGGTCCTCCAAGGAGAAGCCAGAAGAAAGCAGCGCTGTCTCAAAGAGCAGCACCACCAGGTCTTTGACAGCCTTGTCATTTTTATCCACCTCAGCCTTCTGGCGCAAAGTCTCTACAATGGGGTGGTCAGGATTGATCTCCAGGTGCTTCTTGGCCATCATGTAGCCCATGGTGGAGTTGTCTCGCAAGGCCTGGGCCTTCATGATACGTTCCATGTTGGCTGTCCAACCATAGGTGCTGGTGACAATGCAGCAAGGGGACGAGACCAACCGGTTTGAGACTGTCACCTAGAAACAGGCCAGAAAATGTTAAGGAACAAATCCCTGGGGTTTTGTGAGGTAAGAGTACAGGGTGTGTTCTGAGAAACAAAAGGGGGCAGTAACAGAATGTGCTCACCTTTTCAACCTTCTTCTCCAGGATTTCTTTCATCAGCTTGCAAAGATTCTCAAACTTGGCTTTGCTTTCCTCCATCTTCTTCTTCTCATCTTCATCCTCAGGCAGTTCCAAACCTTCCTTGGTGACTGACACCAAAGTCTTTCCATCAAATTCCTTCAGCTGCTGAACGCTGTACTCATCAATGGGCTCTGTCATATACACCACCTCAAAGCCGCGTTTTTTTACACGTTCTACAAAGGCAGAGTTGGCTACCTGCTCCTTGCTTTCGCCTGCAACACAAGAGTTTGGGGACTAGGTAAAATCTAGCCACACAACAGGTTCTTTGAAAAATTCTATACTGTAGACCTACTTGAAAAATTAGCACTGTTCTAAGAGGCAAATGTCATTTTATTTTGACTTTGCTAATCCTTTACACTTGCAAGACCTTAGTTATCAATAAGTGTTCTAGTACAGTGGTTCCTCGACTTACAAACTTAATCCGTATTGGAATGGTGTTCATAAATTGAAGCATCATTTCCCATAAGAATGCATTGAAAACCGATTAATCCATTCCAGCTGAAGAAAAAAAATTACAAAAAAAATAAAAAGAGCACAGCAAGCCCGCTCTGTTGCTGAAGTTTAAGAAAAAAACCTCCAGAAACAAACACTAAAGCCACCAACACAGCACAGAAACATACCCGTCCCAGCCAAACCCCACCCAGAAGTTTTTTTAAAACAGCAGCTTACCTACACACACACACACACACCAAAGCAGGAGGCTCTCCCAAGCCTCCAATGACACACTCTAACTGCCGAAAGTGAAAGAGCTACTGTACAAAGCAGCCTCGTCGCCACCTACAGTTAGAAATCTGAATTGCCCACCTTTTTTCTATTCGTAAGTGGAAGCTCAATTTGCAAGTCGAAGCAAAATGTTGCAACTGGAGCTGTTTAAATGTTTGTAAGTAGGGACGTTCGTAAGTCGAGGCACCACTGTATTCCATAACAGTACTTCCTTCTCTGAACATGAATCAGAAGTGTACCCATGAGCATTCAAAGCACCCAAAATTCCCCTGAGATTTTGCACATATAGACCAAAATATACTAGTTAACAAAAACAAGGAAGATACTCAGGTTTCTTCCTAGAAGTGGAGAGAAATAATGAATCCTTGTATAGTTTAGGTGTATCTGCATTACATAGAAACCTGAAATGTGATATCTATTAACAATACAGTGATCACGACAAAACAGGACAATTGTGCACCCAACTCAAAATGAGTAGGATTAAGTTACACGCGAACAAGTTGTTGTCAAGAAAAGGCACATCTAGGCTTACTGAATGGATGCTGAATTTCCTCCTTATGAATATGCATCACTTCCATAATTTAGACAGCATACATAATGAGCACATTATACTGTACTTTAGTTCGCAATTCTTTATCGACTTAGTAGGCAGTAAATCCCAATAAGCACAGTGGGATTAACTTCTGAATAAATATTTATGTGACTGCACTGTCAGGGAAACTGGAAGAGTGTGTTTCTACTTCTTGTGATATGTATGAGGAATTTGCCTGGAGTTCACAATTTTGCAATGGAACATACTACATGTTGAAGGAAAGACAGAAGCTGAAAGCCTCCTGAAAAACCTTTCTTACAGACCTAATTACAATTGTTTAAAACCTCTTACCTCAAGCCTCTGAAGTTGTTACAGTTAGAAATTGTTTCTTCAGATATCTATACATACGACTCTCCTTGCCCTTGCTTTTCTGCCTCATCTAGGGAGGGAGGGTGCCTTATGAAGACCGGTTGACTAAAAGCAGACATGGGCTGACACAATGTTGTCTCTGGGAACTTGGCAAGCCAAAGGTAGGGAGTTTGATTCTCTACTGTGCCTCCCTGACAAGGACTGCAGTTCTAAGATCATAATTAAAACACCAGAGCTGCAAAAACATGTCCCTTTCTTTGTCTGCTCAAGCCTATCATAATTCCTTTGTGAATTGACAGGTTTAAAAAGATCTTGCTCTGCTAAAGCAATGTCACTCACCAGTGATGTAATAGATACTCTTTTGATTGTCCTTCATGCGGGATACATACTCTGAGAGAGAGTTCATCTCATCCCCAGAGTGCGATGTGTGGTAGCGCAATAGTTCTGACAGGCGTTTTCTGTTGGCCGAGTCCTCGTGGATCCCAAGCTATAAGGACAGATGAGGGTTTATACGCATCTACAATGAACTACAGATTACAAATGTATTGTAGCCATATCTTTTGAAAATTTATTTTTATTTATTTATTTATTTAGCAGAAGAGGGTTTATATGCATCTACAATGAACTACAGATTACAAGTGTATTGTAGCCATATCTTTTGAAAAGGTCCATCTTCTTCCCTCTACATGAGAAGTTAAAACTATTTTTACAACACACTTGCCCTGCAACAAGTTCAGGGCATAAAAATAATTTTAGAACCAGCCATGGAAGAAAAAGACTATTTCAACAGTGGACATGTTCAGCTGGATCCCCTGGTCTTTCCCTATTATTACTACCATCTGAACATTTCCTTCTGTAGTTTACATGATAATGGATATTGAACTTATCATTCTTACTGTGAAAGACTAAGAATCTTGATCACCTGAAATTACTGCTTTGTCTTGCTCTACTTTCCTTGGTAGATATTGAGGAAATCATAAGGGCTAGGAAATGTGTTATTTGGAAGATAAAAAACTAATTCATAGAAATGTGAGAAAGCTGATGCTGATATGTTCAAAATAGTGCACAAATTCTGCCAAGTCAGAATTGCTGTGCTACTCCTGTTGCAACACAGAGAGCGAGCTCTCACCTTGAGGTTTTTGGAGAAGGCTTCATAGAATTTCTTGTAGTTCTCTTTGTCCTCCGCCAGCTCTGCAAAAAGTTCTAGGCATTTCTTCACAATGTTCTTGCGAATCACTTTGAGAATCTTGCTCTGCTGCAGCATCTCACGGGAGATGTTCAATGGCAGGTCCTCAGAGTCCACCACACCCCGGATGAAGTCTGAGTTCCCAAAGTACAGACATGTAATCAGTAACTGAAGTGGTTATTGCTATCATTCCAGGAAGGATGGAAATTCTCTGTTTTTTCTGTGAAATCTGATTATTACTGCTGAGGTGGTCTCTCTTCCCTAAAAATACCTTTCACAGAGTTCACCTTTGCTCGTTTGGTACATGGCTAGAAAGAACTGGCTTCCCACATACAATCATATTGGCTAGAAGCTTAGAATGCAATTTTGAGGGGGGTTTGTTTCGATTTTCCTTGGAATTGTGCTGTTTGATTCCTCTGCTTGAGTCTACCTGGAGTTACAGGATCTGTTGTTTAGGCATTTTCAAAAGCATGGATGTTTGTGTGATCTGAATAGCAATGGCCAAGTGGCTACAGAAAGCTCAGTGGGAGGGTGGCATTGCCACTAAGTGGGAGAGTGAAGCCAGATGATTTAGTGGAACAGAACAGAATATCATTTTTAAACAAAAGAGGCTCAAAAGGGAATGCACACCTCAGCCTTCCAGAAGGAACAGTGCAAACTGAGCCACATAGAGGGAGGATGACATTAATTATATTGTATATTCAGCTAAAAACAAAAGCTATGATGTTCAAATTAGTTTGGTAGTTTCCTGAGAGGCATCTTGTGTGGAGACAACAGGAAGGGAGAATGCCAGGCCCCTAATGCCTTGCAGCTCCCACAAAGCTTAGCACTTCCCAGCCACTTCCTCCATTTTCATGGAGATGCACGTTCAAGACAAGAGCCTTTCCTCCTCAGCTTTAAGTGATTAAAACACCTGTGAGGATACTGGCTCCTTGGCTAAAGCCCCAAACAGTTGGGCTGGGGGAATTCCTGCAGATGTCTGGGAGCTGTAGTCCAAAAAATGCAAAAGCCCCATGCTTGCTCTCACATCATGTCTGACAACCTACTTTCTTTTTGATGCTGGGGTTACTGGGATACTGAAATAACAGAGATCACTCAAGGCTGGGAAAAGCAAAAACACTTGATATCTTAGCTGGCCTAGGGAGGAAATAGAGAAGGATCTTACTCAAATACTCTGGGATGAGTTCGTCACAGCTGTCCATGATGAAAACACGCCTGACATAGAGCTTGATGTTGTTCTTCTTCTTCTTGTTCTCAAAGAGGTCAAATGGGGCCCGGCGTGGGATGAAAAGAAGTGCGCGGAATTCCAGCTGGCCCTCCACAGAGAAATGCTGTGTAGTTTGGGAATATTATGGGAGCTAGTTAGTAACCAGTTAACATTTGGAGGAAGGATTTGTCCCTTTAGGGGCTGGCAATAAAGGTGACCACAAACAATTCTCACCCCTGCTGGAAAGAGACCTCTGGCCCAGCCTGCTAGGTTACAGGACCGTTTCAAGAGGCACCTGCGGAGCCCTCTGAAAAGTCACTCTCTTGGACTACCACCTCTATATCCTCAACTGGCATGGTCATGCTAGCTGGGTGACTCCGGGAGGTACAGTCCAAAGAACTAATTTTCCTAAACTCTGCCTGCATGCTGTGATTCTCTGCACCGCTTATGGATTGTCCGGTTATGAGTTCTGAGCTGGTACTGAGTTCCACAGGTACTGTTTTTCTCACTGGCAGCAAAACAGGCTAGCCCTGCACAACATCAACTGTTCATAAATCACAGGGGGAGAGTGTGGAACCAGTCAACCTCACACCTGTTTCTACCATGTCATTCTCAAGATACCGAAAGTGTTTAGCACAGATAATTAGAAAACATAGATAATTTCTTCCCTTCCAGAATATGTGTTATCCACATGCTGCTTATTCTCTTCAGGGAACCTAGTGAACATTCGGAAATATTGTAAACTGCAGGCAAAAAGAAAAAGTAAAGGTGGAACTGAGAACCAAACAGAAGAGGAAACCCTGTAATTCTGGGTCTTAGAATGGCTTAAGGGGGGAAAAATGCAAGAGGTATTTCATAAGAGAACCCATAAGCCCATATACACTTCTATCCTTCCATCCAGCAAGCAGGTGTTCATGGGCACAAGGCCAGGCACCAACAACCATGATGAAATTAACAACACAGAACAAGGAACAGTATACTAAATTATGGATCTACAGGCTATTCCTTCCATGGAAAGATCTCATGTATTCCCTTCATGCAAGTATCGACTCTTTTCCTAATAAGTGCCCTGTTCCACTAGAATGTAGTGCTCACACCGATGGGACACATCTGGTTCCTATTCCAAAATCTGTAACATTTTTACTGGCCTTTTTCCAAAATTGGGGCCCAGGTACAGATCAGCTGAAAAGTATCCATCTCCCTCCACCCCAGTGCTCTCACCTTGACAGCCAGGTGGTCCTCCCAGTCATTTGTAAGACTCTTGTAGAACTCGCCATATTCCTCCTGGGTGATGTCATCTGGGTTGCGGGTCCAGATGGGCTTGGTCTTGTTCAGCTCCTCCTGGTCAATGTATTTTTCCTTGATCTTTTTTGTCTTCTTCTTTGATTTGCCGCCTTCCTCTTCCTCATCCGAGCCCACATCCTCAATCTTGGGTTTCTCCTCATCCTTGGGGGCTGCCTCTTCGTCCTCTTTCTCCGCCTTTTCCTCTTCCGCCTCGTCGTCACTGATTTCCTTCTCACGCTCCTTCTCTAGCTGCAGGGAGAAGGGAAGCACTGTATCAGGGGCTTACGATCAGTCAGATAGAAAGGAAAAGGCTGTCCATAGCTGAGGCACACTATGAGGAAAGTGGGGCCTGCAATGAATTCTATAATTTTCATGAAATCATGGAACATTAGCACATGAATGTCTGTTAAAGAATTTGCTTTAACAGTCATGTTTTCCAAATCTGCTCCTGTACTGCTGACAGGAAGTACTGGGAGAAGAAATGAGAACAAGGAGTTGGGAGGAATTGTAACTTCCAATCAGTTCTGGTAACTGAAAAAACATTTGGGTTCAGATCTTTTTATTCCAGTTCTACATGCTTTGTCCCAAATTCTGGTTGATGGATCCAAGAGGTCTAATGAAACACAAAATAGATGCCATAGGCCCTAGGTATGCCCATACCTGGTCTCCAGTATACTTGTTTCACAAAAAATACTAGTCAGGCGTCTGGGAAAGGATTACTCTGACTAAGTGAGACAGGGAAGAAACTTGCCCTTCCCCATCTCAGGTAACAATCTGAACAGAAGACATGCCTGCACGTGGAAGTTATCAATGTGACAGAAAACTCTAAAAAGCCAAGGTTCCCAAGCGCATGGAGAGGATCCATGCTTAAACTTGACTCATCAGACAGTTGTTCTTTACCTGTTCATAATGGCAACAGGCTAGCTCTCTCCCTCTCCACATGCATGCAGAGTAAACTCTTTTCTAGACATCTCCACATGGCTTTTAATGACTGCACCTTTCCTTGCGGAGAGGCTTAACAGGATTCCTTACCCTGAAAGTGTACAAATCAGATGACCTGGAGAAGGGCAAAACCTGTGGCAGTGAATAAGCTACCACCTCTGCTTAGAAGGTGTTCCAAGAGGCTATGGAATGGCTACCACAATATGCCTAAAGGCAGCTGTGAGAATTAATCCCTCTTGACTTGGGCTTGAACAGCTCCCCTTGTATACCTACGTAGAGGGTGATGGGGTAGCCAATGAACTGAGAGTGCTTCTTCACCACTTCCTTGATACGACGTTCCTCTAGGTACTCTGTCTGATCCTCCTTCAAGTGTAAGATCACTTTAGTGCCACGCCCAATGGGCTCACCTGAAATGCAGTACAGAAGAAAGGAGTTTTTACTAGAGGTGCAAACATTGTACTGTTCATTATGGCCAACGGATGAGGTCAGAACTACTATAAGCTAGGACAGTGGTTCCCAACCTTAGGAGCCCAAAAGCCCCAGCCATTTTCACCAATGATGAAGGATGTAGGAGATATGATCCCCAAAACTGAGGACCTACAATTAGGAATTGTTGATCTAAAACTCATGTGCCCTCGACACATCAAGACAAGTCATAGTTTTGTTTTTAAAATGGAGAGCCAAGTCTTAATACCGATAGCCAGTATTTCCAGCAGGTGGACCAGATGACGCCGAGCCAGTAGTAAGACAAGCTGGTAACCAGTTTGTTGCATCTAGATTACTGAGTTTTTGTGTTTCCCAAATAGCAAGTTTCATGCTCTGAGATTCATGTTTAGACTAAGAATTCCATCTTTTTTCTGAGAGATGCATTTCCAAAAACAAACAAACAAACAAACAACAGGTCCAGTCCAGCTAAACTGAATTCTAGCTCAGTCTGGCTGCAGTGAATGTACCCAACTAATGACAAGAAGCTTCCACCACCCTGCTTTCAGGTGGGTAGACTCCACCTCCCTTGAGCTACACAAGTGCCTACAGTAAATGCTTACGAAAGTGACAGTAGATTAAAACAGCTATAAAAGAAATAGAAAGGGAGAGAAATGCAAGGGATAAAGAACATGAGGTAACAAGATTTAAGTAATTAATTCTTTATGGAGAAACAAAAGCCTCTGTTACTATTTCAATTCTCACAAAGCCAGGAATTGTGTGGGTATACCACACACAAACATACATACACACATGCACAATGGAAAACAAACGTATTCTATCAGCTCTGCTGATAAGACGAGCTCTTGTCAAGCTTCTCTTTCATCTGTTGCCAGACAGGAGCTATTTCAGCAGGCAAGGACTCAAGATGACGGGATGAAGTGCCATTTCAGCAACTCTGCTGAGAGATCAGCTCCATCAGGATCCTCTCCTCCTCCTATTCTTTCCAGCTGGCCACCCCTCCCTAATTACTGCTGTTTTTAAAATGATGCTATGGTTTGCTTTTTTAGCTCTTTCCTCACTACTACCCCTTCTCTTTCTGACATGGCTTTTAGACTGTAAGCTTTGGGGCACGAGTGGCCTTGTTTTTATTTATGGTATGTAACCTGATTTGGAACCTTTTCTAGATAAAGAATGGGGTGAAAATGCTTCAAATAAGTTAACACTTTGGCTGAGAACAGCTTTTAGCACTGATAACAAAAACTGCTTGCTTTTTTTTAATGACATATAATGACTTCTTACAGTTCAAAGTGCCTTTGAACAAAATAATACTGATGTGAACATCTCCCATGCACTGTAACTGACATTCTGCTACTCCTGTTTTAAGACATTCATTCATTCATTCATTCATTTGATTTTTACTCCGCCCCTCTAGACCATGTCTACTCAGGGCGGCTTACAAAATAAAACAGAACAGTATAAAAATATATAAAACCATAAAATTACAACTACAATTTCAATTTAAAACAATTAATTTAAAGAGAGGATTACCAAGATGGAACAGCAAAGAAAAGAAAAAAGAGAAAGACTTAATTGACTGGAGGGAAGGCCTTATGAAAAACCTTTGTTCAGAATTAATCCTTTAAGGGATAAATGTCAGCTGTAATAGACCACCAAAGATTCAAACTACAAAGGGGTATTATAAAGTTCTATAGTGCTCCGAGGACTTTAAGTGTCATACTTTAGATCTTTACTAAAGTATGACACTTTAGTAAAGTGTCATACCTTACTAAGTATGATGAAATTAACAATGATGAAATTAACAACACAGAACAAGGGACAGTATACAAGGGACAGTTTATCTTCGTGCTCCGAGGACTTTGTTTAAGTGTCATACTTCAGATCTTTACTAAAGTATGACACTTTAGTAAAGTGTCATACCTTACTAAGTATGATGAAATTAACAATGATGAAATTAACAACACAGAACAAGGGACAGTATACAAGGGACAGTATATCTTTTCCTCTGGGTCATATCAAACCACTACATACCATGATCAGTTCTAACAGTGAAGGAGCCTCCTGCAGAAGACTCCCAGGCATACTGTTCATCGTCATTGTGTTTCGTGATGACCACAACCTTCTCAGCCACAAGGTAAGCAGAGTAGAAACCCACACCAAACTGCCCAATCATGGAGATGTCTGCACCAGCCTGTGAAATTAAAGGAAAAAATGACATGTCTAAAAACAAATATAAGTAACTGCAAGCCCACACATATACACACTTCTATGTGCCGGAAAGGAAAAAACGACATGTCTAAAAACAAATACAGTATAAGTAACTGCAAGCCCACACATATACACACTTCTATGTGCCCTGAAGTGATGTTTTAAGAATGGGGAGCTGATACAAAATACACAACATTCAGGTCAGATAATCTTTATACTGAATTGTTTCTGTTTTATTTTTAACAGGAGGAGGGCAAGATACTTACACATAACTTAGGGGCAAAGCCACTCCTGTGAGAACAGAGTAAGCACACATTCACACTGGGTACACATAATTTAGTATCTTGGAGCACCAGTTTGAGTAATTTTTTTAAAATTAAGTTCCTAACCCTTAAGATCACAAAGATGAACTTCTGTATGCTGCCAATGGCTAAATCTCAAACTTAAGAGACCGAGCAGTATTTCCAGGGGTTAAAGATGTGTGACAATCTAAACAGCTCGAAGCTCCTCTTCATCAGAATGTCTTGTGCTAAATGGTTAATTTGTCTAAGCTGAGCGCATACTGTATATAAATATACACAGAAACAAAGTTCTCTTGCTAAGGAATCTGAATTGATTTAGTCAAGCATAAGACTTCTGAAAATCATCTAATCCACCTGAATTTCCAAGTGTTAGTTTAATTACAAGAGGTCCAGTTTGCTATCTCAGACGAATTCCAAGTTCAGACACATCCCTCCTCAGTTCCTCACCTTTTAGTCCTCTCAAACCCTCCTGCTACCCAAGACTTCTTGTAGACCCAATGATTCCCTACCTTCTCCTGCCCTGTTGTCCTTGGGCCCCCCATTTCCATGTTCCCTCCCTCTCCTGCCTGTTTTTTTTTAAGCCCCAACCCTCCCAGATGTTCTTACCCCTTGGCATTCATGTCTCCTTTAGTACTCTTCTACCCACTTCTACTTCCCGGGAAATGGTGGACAGAGCTTTACTTGCAGCAGCCCACCTTTTGCTAAGAAGGGAATTCAGGTGACAATTAAGTTTTAAGTTATTTAGATGCAGAGATCTGAATTTATATATATGGTGAGTATGGCAGTGGCAATACCAGCTGGGGATGTTGGGAGCTGGAGTACACAAAATGTAACTTTTTCAAACTCTGGTTAAAAACATTGTGCAGTATTTGGTACCGTTTAAGGAAGAGAAGGGCCCAGCCACTGTGGATGCTGTGACCCCACTAAACATTCAGGTAGCCAGACACACACCTGCAAGGCTTCCATAAAAGCTTTGGTGCCAGACTTGGCAATGGTGCCCAGATTGTTGATAAGGTCTGCTTTGGTCATCCCAATGCCAGTGTCTATCAGTGTCAGGGTACGGTCATGGGGATTGGGAATGATGTCTATCTTCAGCTCCTTTCCACTTTCCAGTTTGGAAGGATCTGTTAGACTCTCATAACGAATCTTGTCCAGTGCCTAGAGAGACCAGAAAAAATAGATTAGAATGAGAGCTCTCCTCATAAATCTCATGTCTGTTCAGAGACCTGCTTTAATTCTCCTTCTGAAGGAAAGGGTACCTACTAGAAGACATGAAAATCGGGACCTTAGTGCTACAGGCTAAAAATCTGCAAGCCTTTGTTCAGGGACAGAAACTTATTTACAAAGGGTCAAGTTAAACAACTCACGGAATCCCGTGTCTGTTTGGATGCAGCCTTTCTCCAGCTCGGCCATTCTCAACCTTTTTGTGACCACCTCCATAAACACAGTATGAAAGAAATACAGGGCGAATCAAGATTGTATAAGTCGCATAAGGGTGCCTGCTGGAGGAGGCAGGACGTTGAATCACAGATCACCTGCTCCGCCACTGTCCAAACTGCCAGTTCATGCCCATCTCTAGTCAGAACTGACTTAAAGTCCTAGGGTTTAGAGATGCGAGATGTTTCAGTAGTGGCTTCAACAGACCCACCCCACCTTCAACCCATGGCTAAGCAGGAATTTGCACCTCAGTCTCCTGAGTCCTAGCCTATCATCACTACACCACATTTAGTGCCAGTCTTTCAGGTAGCCTAGTTAAAATCAAAACTGAATGCAAGCACCTATTCAGCACATAAAACAGGCTTGTAAATAAGCTTAATAAAGTTATTAGTCTCCAAAAAAGGTTTTGTTAGCTTGTCATGGGCTGGAAAAGGAGGAATGGAGAATTCTGTTCCTCTTTTGGTGGTCCACTCAGCTTCTTTAGTAGGAGGAGTGGACAGAGGTAAATCCCAGCATGCAGTTTCTCATCACTTACAGGTACAAGGAGTCAGGCTGGTCTAAAAATTTTCACTTACATTTTAAAACAGAATGAGTGCTTCTCTGTTGAAGACAGGAAGTGAAAGACTGCATTTTTGTAGCAATATATAATATTTTTTCAGGACAGTTATTATCAATGCAACATAATGGCAAGGTGGCTAGTATGAGTTTAACAGAGGAATGGCACAGCAGACAATAGACCACTTTGCTATTTTAACAGCATCACATTTTAAAACTGATTAAATTGTATCATAAAATTGTATCATAAAGTTGCAAATACATTTGTTTTAAAATCTGTTATTTTTAAATCTATCACTTGTGTAATATTTAGCAATATTCTGCTGCAATTGTACATTTAATACTCGGGTCTAGACACCAGAAAAGTATTGAAAGGGCAGGAAACTAGCCTTCAGCTACAATAAATGCTGTCCTGTACAACAATCATCCTGTTATGTCCACCTTGTCCATGCTGGGTCCTGTAGTCTTCTCCAACCAGGCAGCCTCCAAATGCATTGGATTACAACTCCCATCAATCTCAGTTAGTCAAGTCATTGGCTGTAATCCAACACACGTAGCACAGAATAAGACTGGGAGAGGATGGTATAGCACTTGAAACTTTTATGTGCTTTAACTATGAGAGTTGTACCATTTGTTCCACTTTCCAAATTATGAGCATTTGCTTGTGCATAAAAGAGCGAATTTTCCTTCCTATTATGAATTCTGACCAATTGCTATCAGACTTTGCTTCTGGAGAATTCTGGGCATTCAGGTGCCTCTAAATCAGTGGTTCCCAACCTTGGATACCCAGATGTTCTTGGACTCCAACTCCCATCACTCTTGGCCAGCACACTTCTGGGGGGGAGTTAGTTCAAGAACACCTACAGACCCAAGGTTGGGAACCACAGACCTATAGGATGCAACAGGAAGAAGCTTTGACCACTTCATGTTTCTGGGGTGAGAGGTGGAAGCACAAGAGTTATGGAACTAAGAGGTAAAGTAAAACCAACAGCAGTCACACTGGCAAAAGATGCAGCCTGCCAGGTGGTACAAAACCCCCATTTTACACTGCACTCATAGTCATGCCTACTCATAAGTAAGCTCCCATCAAGTGCACTATCTGTGATTTTGGATTAATGTTACTTTTCAGGAAAGGGGGTGGGGCTCTAAGGGGGGGATGTCTTTCAGCCTGAAGGACAAATTCATTTTGGTTAGATGTTGGGGGGGAAGCAAAAGTACAAGTACATCTTAATTTAATGCAAATGCAGGAGCAGGTGATACCCTTAATCAACCATTAAGAATATAAACTGAATGTAAAGAATATAAACTTCAACTGAAGACCAATGTGAGTTCTGAGACATCATGGACTCTTGACATCAAACAAGCAGTACTGCATGCTAAAACTATTTATCTGGCGTTAATTAGGCTTAATTTGCCTGTTCCTTGTGGTTTAACTAAATTCCTAATCGAGCAGGTGATACCCTTAATCAACCATTAAGAATATAAACTGAATGTAAAGAATATAAACTTCAACTGAAGACCAATGTGAGTTCTGAGACATCATGGACTCTTGACATCAAACAAGCAGTACTGCATGCTAAAACTATTTATCTGGCGTTAATTAGGCTTAATTTGCCTGTTCCTTGTGGTTTAACTAAATTCCTAATCCGAACTCGGTTATGCTAAAACTATTTATCTGGCTTTAATTAGGCTTAATTTGCCTGTTCCTGGTGGTTTAACTAAATTCCTAACACCAACTCTTTTCGAGGTAGGCCATGTTAACTGGGCAGTCTTCCCTCCTCCAGCTAAAGAAAAACTCTGAGTTTCAAAAGGCAAAAAGGGAGATAGAAGGCCTTGCAGATTGCCTATGACTGTCCTGAGGCTGAAACCAACATGCACACTGCAGCTATTTCCATCTAAGAAGCTTACCTGGTCTGTACACCATCAGCCATATGAATCTGGGACATTAAAAACAGAACATAACTTTGGAATTGCCCACAAGAACTTGATGCACAGCCTTAAAGAAGATGATTTATCATCAAAAGCTTGCTATTTGTTTTTGTTTTGTTTTTGTTATATATTCTGAATGGTCAATTAAAGGCATCATCTCCTTCTGCATCTGTATTGTTTCCATGACCATGCAGTCTTTTCCTGATTTTTCCCTTAATTTAATGCATTTACTGCTAGTAACAGAATCTTAGGAGAGGAATTTAGAATGGGGGAAAACTTGTACAAAACCACTAAACAAACACGGGGAAGGAGTGTAACCTTAAGTGGAACTTCAGGGCACTTTTGCTCAGGAACTGAGATTCCCTGTCCCTAATATACAGCATTGCAACCTTAATTGTAAGTTTTTAGCATATAGCCAAGTATATTGGTATCCCTCATTGTTCAGGAAACACATGAAGTACCAAGGAGAATCCTGGGTTAAATAACCACTTTATATTCTGAATTTCAGACAGTCTGTTCCTAGGATTACTTCCCCCTTACTACTCCCTCCCATATCAGGCTCATACTTACATCAGAGGCATTAGAAATTATCTCCCGCATAAATATTTCCTTATTGGAGTAAAAAGTGTTGATGATCAGGGACATAAGCTGGGCAATCTCTGCCTGGAAGGCGAAAGTCTCCACTTCTCCCTCCTCTTCGCCATGATGGATTTCTTCAGGCATCTGGAAGACAGCTCAGGAGATCAATATTTGGTAACTGCTGAAGATCACACAATAACACATACCACATATTCACAAGCATCTTTACATAACTGCAGCTTTCTTTACACATTCCTGAAGCATGTAAAACCACAATCATTGAGGGAAGCATGCTAGGCCCACACCCACACTCCCTATGCCTTGTTGCTCTTGATGCCTGGAAGCAACAGTTTGAAGCAGATGAAGCTTGTGTGCCTAGGTAGCCTCTTGAAATGCAACCTTGCAAGTTCAGGATGGAAAGAATGTAAAGCAGAATAGTAGCTTGCTACTACTACACAGCAGAAACAGGTACATCTATACAGCTTATATTGTCATTTGAGCTGACACATTCACAGACCATTCCAAGTAGAGATGTGTAAATCTACAAAACTTAACTTTGGTTGCATTTCTCAGATTCCCACTTCAGCCAAATCTCACCCTGGATCCATACTGGTTTGCAAGAGCTTTTCCTTAGTAGACACTTGAGCATTTTTTTAAAAAACCACCATTTCTCCTCAAGAGTTATTATATGCATTTTTCATAGCCTAAAAGTGTGTCTATTTTTCAAACGTGTGCGGTTTTGCGCACATTTCTCTGGACTGAAAAACACACTGTACGCCTCACAAATCTATGGATTTCTAGGGCAAATGATATTCCACCCTACTGCGAGTGTTGGGAGGTGCAAAATGGGTATCTTTATATGGAAGAAACGATGTCAAACCTTCCTTTCCCATTTAAAGCTCAAAGCTAGATTTGATTATTGGTCTTGGGGCAAATTATCTTTTTGTTTTTTGCTAAAACAAGGATTTATTGTCTACTTATCAGGTATTCTATCCATCTCTCCAAGTTGGACTTGAGACAGCTACTAATCTTAGTAGAAAAAATTCACGGATAAATGAAACTGTTATATTACTGTAAGGTGTTTTGCACTATTACATGTCCTCAGGACCTCAACTCCAGTTTTAATTATTTATTTTACTCCTATTCAGCTCCAACTGAAACGTCTGTTTCAGACAAGGGCGAGGAGTAATACCAGTTTAAGCTTAAAACAAGACCAACTTCGAGGTCAGAGTTTCCAATACATAACGAACGAGCTGTTCCGTCGTTTTGTTATCGCTTGAAATAAACCCACCGGGTCGCCATAGCAGCTTCTCACGACGGGCAGGAATAAGGACCTTTTTTCTCTTCCGAGACAAAACGGAACCCAGCACGCGAGAGCCATTGTTGGATTGGCGACCTGCCATTTACGCCATGCGTGCCAACGACTCCCCTCCCCCTCCGATCCGGATTTTTAAAAAGCATATTTTTTAAAAAAAAGAGTTTGCCGTCCACAGACCGATCGGGAGAGGCAAGTCTGAAGGGTGTTGTTGCTGTTATTATTTTTATTAATCCCTGCTGGTGGGGAGCAAGACAATCGCCAAGGCCCAGCCACGAGGCGTAGGCAGAAGGAGCCGAGGGCGGGAGAAGGGCTGCGGCCTGCAGCCTCCAGAGACCAGGGGAGCCACGGGGAGCCGAGGATGGAGGGGCCGTGGGAAAGCGCCGACTCCCGGCCTCCCGTGGGCCCGCCTCCGCTGCTGTGGAGGGCCCGCCCGCCACCTCTAATCTGCGCAAGGCCGGGGTT